TGGCAACCAAATTTGGTCTCCTTAATCAACCTTGTAAAACCACTCGCTTGCACCATAAAATTGATGCTCGTGTGAGGTGGGTGGGGGAGGAAAAAGAGCCCAAAAAGAAATTCTCCAAAAAAGAGAAATCGTTTTGTATTCAAATGCAGTTATGAAAATTCGATTGCAGTTTTAACCCCATTTCACAGTCTCAAGGTCAGAAATATTTAAAACGTTGACCAATAACTTTGTTATAGCTTTTTTAATTAGTAGCAAAAATTTCGAACAAACATAAATTTGAAAGAATCCTGAAATTTAAAAGATCTTTTTCAGACAACTTTTGCATGCAAAAACTAATTTTTCAGACAGAAAGTATGTCTCTTTGTCACCTAAAAATTGCTCAAAACGGGCATATTGCTCTTTTAATTATTTCTCTATAACAAATCGATTGGGAAACGTTTTACATTTGAAATAATTCCAATCTTCAAGTTGAAAATAATTAGAAATAGTTTTTTGCAGTTTCGTTGATGCTTTATTGCCGGCGTTTTACTGCTCTTATTTTAAAAAAAAATTGCATCGCCGATTGCTGCTGAATGAAAATTATTTTGAAGTTAAGGGCTTGAAGTTATATTCAACACAGAGGTAACAATTAGTCACCGTTTTCCATTTTATAACATCGCGTTTGAAGCACAATCAATAGTCAAATTATTATCACGAAGGCCTAAGTGTCGGACGCACAAGGCTAAAAAAAATTACTTCGCAACCACGTGGCAAAAATCAGCTCTAAAATTTTCAACAATGAGTAAAAACGCATTCCATCTGCAAAAAATTACTCGTAAACATAATATTTAGGATGAAAAATTTAATTATATCACAGCACAGGTGTTGTCTTTATAAAACTAAACTCTTTACAACTAAATTCATCAGATGAAATTTGAGAATTAATAAATTGTTTAGGGTTGAGATATGAAAAGGCCCAATATTGAAACAAAAACTTGAAATAGAGCAAGTCAAAACAACTTAATGCTAAAACAATAAAACGGCTCATTTTCTTTTTCGCCCACATGCGAGAAATTACTCGTAAACTTATTGTTCACATAACTTAATTTTGAGCAGACTAGTTAGGCCATGACAAACACATTTGGTCCTCATGCTTTACCTTGTAAAACCTCTCGTTACACCATAAAATTGATGCTTGTGGGGTGGGGGAAAAATAAAAAGAGCCAATAAATTCAGATTGCAGTCTATCCACGAACGCAGCAGAAAAAATAGTCCTCTTTTTTGGCTCCAAATCACAGTTGAATTTCAATTGAACACAGCAAAAAAATTTTGACCATTTGTTGGAATAGTTTTGAATTTCAATTTTCTAAGGAAAACTATACCACGTTTATTCTTTTCAATTTTCAAGAATCTTTTTTAATTGATACTTTGGCTATTTCCAACCCCCCCTCTCCCACGCATTTGAATTTAAATTTTGAAAAATTCAAGTTGAAATAAGTTCAAGTTAAAATAAACTAAATTTGCATGGTGAACAAATTAATCATTGAGAACATTTTTTTAACTTCAAACTGCATTATAAACAACACGCATTTAACCGCTGAACACGTTAAACAACTATTCAAGTAGATTAATTGAAATTTGGAGGAGGGGGTGGAGAAGCAAGCCGATAATTTATCGCTAAAATTGACCAAATTTGAAAAAACTGGTGCAAAACGAAACATTTCTATTCCTCTGGGACATCTATAAACTAATTTCTCCTTTCAAAACCAGAAGTTGTTCACGTTTTTAGCTATTTTCAAAATCGCAATTTCTGATTTTTGACTCGTTTCAATTCCGCTTCCACATTTCAAATTTTTAAGTTTCTTAGTTGTCTTACGTGTTATTATAGCTGAATGCCGCTTTACAATCAACGCACACTGTAGATTAACTAGTTTTCTTTATACAACAAATTTCACGTAATGATATTTTCATAAACTGCGTATGAACGCATGCAAGTTGACTAAATTCCATTTGCGAAAAATCAAAGTTGAGCGAAGACAAACAATAAGACATTTCCTGAAAAAAAATCACCAAGACTAAGTATGAAAAAAAAAACAAATCTGTTCACAATTAGTTTGTTCAACATGCAACAGTTCCTTACATTATGACAACGTTAAAGGAATATTTCAAAACTGAAAATCAAATGTGGGGGGAAGTGGAACAAAGTCAATTTTTATGAAACTTAATTTATGAAAATCTATCTAAAAAAATTGTCATGTTATAAGCTGAATTAAAATGTTTAAGCGTGAACAAGTGAACAGATTGTTGTAAGATTTCTTACATGCAAAATGCAGAGCGAACAAGTTTTGAACAGCTTTACGTATACATTTTATGAGGGGTGCGAAATGGGAAAAAGCCGTGGCTCCTTTCCAGTCCCCCTTTTAATGTTTTTTGGAACTCAATATAAGAAGTCTATTTAAAACGAATTTTCATGTTACAAACTGCATCAAAACGTGTAGAACAATGGAAAACTGAAAAAGAGTCCGTTTTTTGCATCATTTCCGCTTTCGTCGGAGAAAATTGTTTGCATTGTTTTTAGCAAATGAACTTTAACTCGAATCAAACAGATAGAAAACTAACTCAAATTAATGCATGAAACAAAATGCACTAATCCCTATTGGACTCATACCTCTCTGATTTTCAAGAATCTGCTCTTTTCGTTTTTTCATTTAATTTTTCTTGGAATTTGATTTTTTAAAGCTTATTAGAAATGATTTTTGATGTTCTAAACTGCTACAAAACGTGTTAGCATAAAAAACTTATAAAATGTGATAATTTTTCCTAGATGCAAATTGCCGTATCAACAAATTATGAGCAATTTTAAATTGAAATTTTGCAAGTTGTTAAGCGAGGAACTCGAAAAGAGCCCAAGAATCGTTTATAATTGACATTTTCCGCTAAAGTAGACCCAATTTGAGAGAACTGCATTAAACCAAAAAGTTTTGATTCCGCTGGGAAATTTATTAGCTCTAATTCACATTCGTTTTTTGCGCCAATTCCTTCTCTTAAAAAGAGAGCATTCTTTATCTTCCTTTCAGCAAACGAATTTCAATTAAACTAAAAAATCGAAAAAACCTTAACCATTGCAATATACGATATATCTTAAACTTGCAATAATTCATTTGTTAAACACGTAAAACAATACGTTGAATAAGTTTGAACATGGCGAGACAGTGAAGCCTGCATTTAAATATATAATAGAAGATAGATGAAAGTTTAAAAATTAGGAGACGGGGAGACAGACATAATCAAATTAATTAAAAGAGAAGGTATACAGACAGATTGACAGACAGACTTAATTTGGCCCCGAAAAAAAATACTGAAAAATTAATGACCGTGCGGAAAGCTAAATGAAAACTTTTCTTAATTTTCTTAAGCATTGCAATATATGATATAGCTTAAGCATGAAAAAATTCATTTGTTAAACATGAGAAATTTTTATGCTTAAACATGGGAGATAGCTGTTACTCGCATTTAAATATAGTATAGATTAAATAGATAGATACAGATTTCAAAAAAAAATGAAAAATCAAATTCGAAGTAACTCACCCACGCATTTTTCCATTAACCCACTCCCCTCGTAAAACTAGACAAATTCATTTTAAATAGACTTTATATTGAATTTCAGATAACATCAAAGGGGGGGGGGCGGAAAAGAGCCTTAGTTTATTTTTCCTGTCAAAAAAACGTCACAACCATGTCATATTGCAATGAAACTTCTCGCAGTGAACAGAGTAACTAATGTGAACGGATATTTTCTCCATACTTCACAGCGAAATATCACGCAATTTGTTATAATAACACGTCAACAAACTGTAAATAGAAATTTCGAAATAGCACGGGGACACTAGTCTGCTCGGGGAAATTTCAACACATCGTGTTAACGAAGTAAACGAAAAGCGAAAAAACTAAATCCCTTTAAAGGTTTCGGCATTTCAATAATCTGTTACAGTTCACATCTTTTTGAAAGAAACCGACTCAATTTTTAGGAAAATTGGATCAAAAGTTAAATTTTTAGGGCTCTTTTCCAATTTCCGCCCTACCTCTCACTTTTTCTACTTTTATAGTTGTTTTTCATGTAATTATGGCTATATGGGTAATGTGGCGATGTAAAGTACGAAAAACAGATCTGTTCACAATTGTTAGTTTGTTCGCCATGCCAAGTTTCATTGCATCATGACAATAATAAAGTCATTTTTCAAAAATAGAAATTCAAAGGTGCGGGGGGTTGTGGAATATACTTTTTTGTTCGTCTAAAATTTAAAATCTAGTAGGAACTTCATTTCATACTAATTCATCATAATAACACGTAAAAAAACTATGGAAAAATTGAAATATGGGGAACCGGGAAAAATCCAGTTCCCCCTTTGGTTTTTTCCGAAACTTTGTTTGTCTGTTTAAATTGACTTTTGGACTCTTTTCGTAAAATTGCAAAAAAGCTGCTCAAAAATTGTTCACACGGAATTTTGTATGTAAGAATTGTTGTACATATTTGTTCACCTGTTCACGTTGACGTTTCACAGCAATTTATAACATGAAAAGTCATTTTAAATAGACTTTCATATATTGCATTTTAGAAACAATTAAAAGGAGGGAACTGGAAAAGAGCCGACTTTTGATGTTCTATACTGCCATCAAGCGTACTCGCGTGAAAAAATTTATTACAAAATTTCTCACATACAAATTGCCGTATAAACAAATTTTAGGTAGTTTTATAATGCAATTTTACCAGGGGGGGGGCGGAAAACAGCCGAGCGGCCGTATCATCATTCGTCTTTGTTAAATTTGTAACTTTTATAAGTGAAAAAAGGAAATCTAAAGAATCTTGGATCCTATTAATGAATATAAAACATGTCAAGTAAAAACAGCGGTTCTCGCTGAAAAGCCCGTATGTTGGCCCTTTCCCTTGTATAACTGATCCCTTATTAACTGAATCTTAAAAACAAAGCGCTTTATTTGGGCAATGGAAGATTACAATGTACCTCTTGTCCCTGCATCTGCTCGAAGAAAATTGGAGGAACAGGCAGAGGTGGCACATTGAGGTGGCCAGTGCCAAACGACGCATTCACTTGTGATTGAGGCATGAACTGTGCACCACCATGTCCACCCAACATCGACGGAATAGTCTGATAGGTCGAGGGTAGAGCCGCCCCCAGACGGGCAAGAGTGAAGGGATCAGTGGGTGCTACTGCAGCCTGCGACGTCAGGAACTGATGCGCGTAGGATGGTGGAGGCGCCGCACCCATGAAAGGGTTCCCGAAATGGGACCATCCATTTGTGGGGTAAAGAGACTGCATGTTGGCTTGTTGCTTCTAAAATTCACTTCGCCTGATGCTATGCCTTCCCGCACTTTTCGATATAAATTGCCGCAAATTTATGAACCCAGAGGTTAATGTCAATTGTGCGGTAAATAGGAAATAAGTTTAAAAAATTATCCAAGATGCGAGCGAATATAATCAAGAAGAAAGTCAGAAACGAGAGCAGAACTGAGAGTCAAATCATCTGATGAAGAAATGACTCACATTGAAAAGTCTGTGAGTAGAAAACAAAAGTTCGGGAAATTAGAAATCATGCATGCGAGCTCGAGGCATCGAATCTACGTCTCAAAAGGAATTCTAGCTCTAAATATACACCAAAATTTACACAAGTTTTACTTCAAATTTTGGATTGAAATATGAACAACTGGTTATTAACCGAAGGATAAAACCAAACATCCAACCCCCTCCCCTTTCCCCCAAACATGCATTCATTTGACATTTGAATCTGCAGGCACCAACACGTGATGTTTGCTGTTCTATAGAACTATGCCAACTATGAGCACCGTAATACACCAACCCCGCATGGGTAAAAAAAAAATTACAGCTCTTTTTCCTTTTCCCCCCGAAAACGAACATCAGTTTTATGGTCTAACGAGTGGTTTTACAAGCTTAATTATGAAGCCCAAATATGTTTCTCATGGCCTATTTAGTCTGCATGTCATTTTTCATGACAATCGAACAATGTGAACAGTAATTTTAATTATAAAAAACTAAGGAAAGCCAAAATTACTGATTAAATTATGCAGTGATGTAATTTAATTGATTAAATAATCATGTAGTGAAATTATTCGGCTCTTTTTCCTTCTTCTTCCTCCCTCTCCCCCCCCCCCCCCCCACCTGCAAAACTTTACAATGAAAAATTTGTTCACATTGTTCGATTGTTATGAAAATTAGCATACGGACTAATAAAGGCATGGCAAACATATTTGCTGTTCATAATTAACCTTGTAAAACCACTCGTTACACATTAAAATTGATGCTCGTGTGAGGTGGGGGGAAAAGGAAAAAGAGCCAATTATTCTCCTCAATAAACGAGTAAATACAAATTTAAAAAACATCTGGCTCTCTGTACTGACCATGATATGATCGACGTCTCGATCGTAGGATGCCCTGAGCTTGATTAGCATGGCTCTAGCTGCCTGAGTTGTCTTACTTCTCTCCCCGTCTATTGTGATGATTCTCTCCATTTCCGTTGCTCTAGAAACACAAAGCCTAGAACTCAATTTGGCTCTTTTTCGTTTCCCCCTCCCCACCAGCAAATTTTTATGTTTGAAGTTAATGTTCATTTTGTCCGATTGTCATGAAAATTGCCATACAGACTAATTAGGCCATGACAAACATATTTGGTCTTCATAATTAACCTTGCAAAACCACTCGTTAGAGCATAAAAATCATGTTTGAGTCAGGTGAGAGGAAAAAGAGCCCTCAATTTAAAGCGCAGAAAGCATCCTAACATTTTGAAGCTTGTTAAAATTTGTAATCGACCCTCTGTTCATTATTAGACTAATCGGATAAAAAAATCCATTTACTCCCCAAGTAATGTTCAAAAAGCACTATTAGAAACTTTCCTAAGTTCAAGTAAGTCAACATTAGTGGAAAAGGCTACCAGTAAAAACTATCAGAAAGGTTGCCCTGATATACATTTTTTCGTTAAATAAAAAGAAACAAATAAGCTGAAGAAAAAATGAAATCATAAATTAGGAACAATTTTACAAAAATCTAAGTAAAAAATGGCTAAAAAAAAACAAACTTTCTACTAAAACAAAAAAAAACTTAGCCAACAGAAAAGAGTTGATGAACACCGGAAAACAGGAAAAAAAACACGTTATAAAGTTCATTGAATTTCAGGGATAGTTTATGATAGTTTCTTTGTACTAGAATTGGTCCAAATTGAGAAAAATAAATGAAGAAATTTTTCTCATCCCGCTGGGAAATCTATTAACCTATTCCTTAAATTCCATTTTCAAAAAGAAAGGCGTTTATGTTTTTTCCGCAGTAAGTGTCAGAAACCTTTTTCAAATTGCACCGGCCCTTACTTCCTCGCCATGCATCCTTAGGGGAGACATTTGTCATCCATTTCCCTGTAGCCGATCCCACCTTGAGGAGGTGGATCACACAGGGACTCCCTCCAACCGTGACCAAAGCGCGATTAAAAAAGGACCTTCGAAATTGAAGACCGCGCCTCTTACCAACTCAGCCGCGGCTGCTCATCACTTTTCAACAACATTGCACAAAAAGCTGATGGATGGAGATAATACTGTGCGAAATCAGCGAACATCAAGGAAAAAATGAAATCTCCTCAAAACCAAGCCGACCCAGTTTGATAAAAAAAAGAACGCGGCTGATTTTTTTTGAAGGCGTGCAAATTGGTAAAAAGTCTAAGAAAAAACTTTGATGAAAGCATCACAGCATAAAGAAAACCATCAGTTTAAGCAAAATTTAAAAATCTGCTTAATAGCATTTTAGCAGCTCAGACCAACCACTTTTTTATAAATTCAAGCAGACAAAACTGATGGCCAATAAAAACTCTGGCGAAATTCAAAATACCGGATAAAAATATTGAATTGACATTGAATGAATAATATTGAAATATTGAATGAACAATAGAAGGCTAACCTCTTTAAATCGGGCTAAATATGAACGATGGTTCATGCCTCCTAGCCACAAACGGTTTCTGATTGGCTTCTAATTAACTACATAAGCGAGCAAGACCGCTTGTATAAAGTCGAAGCTCTGAACGTTCCGACAGCCTTTAGTGTGAGTCAATTTTTCTATCTAAGGGTCTTTAAATTTATAAATCAATCGAATGGAATCAAAAATTTTCTTTGATTTGAGTCTAGTACGGAGTATAAGAATCAGTTAATCTGTCTCGATTCGATTGGTTACAAACTTCAGCGCGGAATACATCCATGTTCTATATGTGGAATATATCCTCAGGTTCTCAAGTGTACAGCGTCTACATGGGTACCACCCGATACCTCGGCCAATGGGACACAATATACCCTCTATCTCTCTGTCTTTTTTATTGTTTGCGAGCTGCACATTCCGGCTGCTCTGCTCCACAACTTTCTCCTCACAGCCGGCATTGAATCAAACCCTGAGCCAAAGTGGCCATGCGGAGTCTGCACAAAGCATTTAGCCTGGAACTCCTACTCAGTCCTCTGCAACAACTGCAAGCACTGGATCCAATTGAAGCCCTCAGGCTTGAACAGCACAAAAGACTAAGACATTTTTGAAGCAGAAAATGCACCACAACCCAATCACAATCAGACCCCCATCCGCACCCACCGTCTTCAAAGAGCACACCGTAGATTTCAAGATTCTCGAACTGAATTGCAATGGACTCAGAGGGAAAACCGACGTGACCCTCCACCGCAAAGAGGAGAAGAATGTCTCAATTGCAGCACTTCAAGAGACCAAATTACCCAAGAGCAGCACAGTATCCACGCTCTTTTTCTCGGAGACATTAACACCCACAGCGAGATCTGTGACACAAAAGGAACCACAGACACAAAGGGCGACAAATTGCAGAAAAAACCATCGACTCTGACTGGGTCATAATGAAAGAATATTTTCTACCTGCTCTCCGGCAAATGTCCCAGAAACCTCTACCGACATCTCACTGGCAAGTAGCGACATTGTCACCAATGCCGAGTGGGCCGCCATGACAGAGCTAACCTGCGGCCACCCAATCTGCTGCAGTCTTCATCTCGAGGAACACAAGACAGTCGACAACCCCAGAAGATGTTTCACCATCAGCCTGCACCTGAAAAAACTTGGACCTCTCACCGTTAGTTATTTGTGCAACACTTTCCAGCTCTCCACCATCTGCAGAAAGTCCGTCATTCTTCTTCCCAACCCTGGTAAAGAACATTCTGTGGGCAAAAACTGGATACCCAACAGCCTGCTCTGAGTCAAAACCATCATCATGGAAAGAATCGTTCTGTCTCAACGAGAGCGCCTGTGTTATAACCGACACAGCAAGATTTCTGCAAGCATCACTCAACCAACACAGCCCTTCACCACTTTGTCGCCGATATCACCAACCGTTTCAAGCAGAAGAACTCTGCCTGGACCATCCTGATAGACCTCAATCTCACAGCTGCCTCGCCGATTGCGTTCTGCTCAATCAAGCTCCGCACAGTGTCAAACACTGGATAGTTAACTACTTGCAGAACAGATCGCGGAAAACATCTAGGCCACGCAAAATACATGCTCGTATTTTCCAAGGCGAAGCCCTCTCGCCTGTTTGATTCAACTATTTGATTCACCTTATAGATGGCTGACTTTCCAGTGCCTCGTGAAGGAATCAAAGTTATCTACGCCGATGACATGACAATCTACACGTCGTCGGGTCCCAACCCAGATGACCTTGTTGACAATCTCATCAGCTACATAGAAACAGTGCGCAGCTTTTTCCAGTCACTAAACGTCAGTCACTTCGAAGTCGGCAGTCACTTGTTCACACTTCAGTGTGCTCAGGCAAACAAAAATCGTCAGGTTCTCGTGCAAGGCAGCATGCTGAAGCTTGCAAAAACGCCGACATGATCCTCTGCTTCGGACTGCACTTCAAAAATTGCAGCCAAAGCACCACAAATCAATGCAACCTTGAAATCAGACCTCTGCTAAAAGTACGAAAACCAGCAACCGAATAGAAAAATCGACGGAAAAGAAGCAACAAAACTACAAAAAAAACAATACCGCCAACGAAACCAACAGAAACCTCAGACCGAATCCTGCCTTTGTAAGCACACTGCCAGAAAAACAGGAAAAAGAGAGTTCCTTAGCAAGATTAAGCAGACTATGCCAGGCACAACTCAAAACCGGATACTGTCATATTTCAAACACAAGAACTAATGAAAAAAAAATGCCGAGAATTGATGAAGAAATAGAAGACGTCTACCCAAACTGTAACAATCCCGCTTTTTCAACCCAGTACCTATTTGATGCACGGCAAACCGACAGATTTGATGGTTGATGCACTCTGGAAGCAACCAGTGGAGGCATCAGCAAAATAACTACGAAAAACTTACAAAGTAACTACGAGAGACAAAGTGTATGAATGTACATCAGTAGTTATTAGAGACTTTTCAGACTTTTCAAAAAACGAAAAAAATCATCAAGAATTATGTAAGAGTCTTCAGAAAATTGTCAGAAAAACCATTTCAATTAGGTTTTCGCGGAGTAAAACTAAGTTTTCGCGGCATAAATTCAGCTTTTGTGAGCTGAAAAACTATAAAAGTAAGCAATTGCAAGCCTACAAATTAAGACTTAAAATCAAAAACTTTAAACCTGTTTTTCTCGACTATTGCTACAAAATTTTAATAGCCGATTACTGTCTAAGGAGCACAGTATGTTCCAACCAAAGTCCTAAAAAACACAAAATCTAGGTAAAAATGGCTCGAAAAAAAAAAAAACTTTCTACTAAAACCAAAAAAACTTAGCCAACAGAAAAGAGTCGATGAACACAGGAAAACAAAAAAAAAACACGTCATAAAGTTCATTGAATTTCAGGGATAGTTTATGATAGTTTCTTTGCACTAGAATTGATCCAAATTGAGAAAAATGAGTGAAAAGAATTTTTTCTCATTCCGCTGGGAAATCTATAAACCTATTCCTTAAATTCCATTTTCAAAAAGAAAGGCGTTTACGTTTTTTGCGACATTTTCTTTCTTAACGGGAGGGGGTTCCTTGCCTTCTTTTTTTAGCAAATGAGTTTGAAATGAACTCGAAACAAAAAATTCAAAATTATGCATAAAACTAAATACACTAATCCGAAATAATTTTCAGAAATATTGCAAAATCTCAGAAAGTGCCAGAAATCTTTTTCAAATTGCACCGGCCCTTTCTTCCTCGCCATGCATCTTTCGTGGAGACATATGTCATCCATTTCCCTGTAGCCAATCCCACCTTGAGGAGGTGGATGACACAGGTACTCCCTCCAACCGTGACCAAAGCTCGATCAAAAAAAGGACCTTTGCGATTGAAGATCGCGCCTCTTACCAAGTCAGCCGCGGCTGCTCATCACTTTTCAACAACATTGCACAAAAAGCTGATGGATGGAGATAATACTGTGCGAAATCAGCGAACATCAAGGAAAAAATGAAATCTCCTCAAAACCAAGCCGACCCAGTTTGATAAAAAAAAGAACGCGGCTGATTTTTTTTGAAGGCGTGCAAATTGGTAAAAAGTCTAAG